TTGCATAATTAAATGCAGCATGCCTGATGGGAATTCCGCTTTAAGTCATTTTTCCTCATTTTCTTCCCTGCAGTTTCCAGCACTTAGCAAATAGCCCAGCTTTTTGTGCTCAGATTATTTGAATAATGGAAAAGTGGAGCGTTTGCAAAAGTGGTTCAACTTCCAGCGCAAACCCCATTCCTCCATTTACGAGTTAGCAAGTGTGAATTGAGGCTGGGGCTCCTTCATCCAGTTCCATTCCTCCTCCTTTTAAGCCCCTCTGGAAAACCTCCGACTGCCTTCTCAACCTTCTTCCTGCAGCTGCACTCTCACCCCTTTCAGAAACCGTCTTGGGGATGTTCCCCGGGTCCTCCAGACTGACTTGTCTTGCATGCCGTGATTTTTGCAGCTGCTTCGTTTTGGGGGGGAAACCGACTGGCCTCTGCTGGTGTGTTGAGAACTTTAGCAAGCAACATCCCCCCCCCCCCCCCATCAGTCAGGTGGAAGAAGGTTGGCAACCCCAACTTTGCGTCACTGAAGGTGGTGATTCTGCCCCATACATGACGCTACATGACCTCAAGGCTGGACAGGGTAGTTTCCCCAAGCTTGGAGTCCTCTGGATGTTCTGTTTTGTTTTTTTCCTTCCTGGCATTTTCCCCACAGGTGCAGGGTCCGCTTTTTCTCTTCGCTTTTTGGATCAACCGAATGCTGATCCATTGGTTGCCACAGGAATTGACCAACTCGCGTGTTGCCCGATCCTGAGGTTGGGGGCGGAGAGAGGGACTGGCCAAAGTCACCCAGGTCCTGGTGAGACTAGAACTTACCACCTCCTGGTTTCTAGCTTGGGGCCTTCACCTCTAGATCAACCTGGCTCTCTGGCGCCCTCTGGACATGTTGTACTGCAACTCCCATCATCCCCAACGCATTGAAGTCCAACGCATTCAGAAGTGGCAGGCGAGCTGTGGCCAGAGGTCATTTCTGAGTATGCTTTAGATTGCTGGCTTTTGTTTTATAGCATTTGTTTTTTAATGACTATTTTTATGCTTTTAGTTTGGGTTATTTTTGTTTCTTTAATGCTTCTTCTTACGTTTTTATTGCCGACTGTATACTTCCTAGAGAGTTCTAAACTGAAGGCAACCTAGAGGGGAAGAAATGACTTTAAATTATATAAAATCTCTGTCTTCCTTTTCTGTTTCTCTCTGTTATCCTTTTCAACCCCTTTCTTTCATATTCACTTCTTAGACTACAGACATTTTTCACCAATATAAATTGTAAGTCCTGTTTCCCTCCCAATATCTAGGCAGGCAGGTCAAAGAGAGGGCCATGTAACATTTATTTTACTTCTATACCACTTTTCATCCCATAGGAACTCAAAGAAGCTTGCAAGAAAAGAAAGAAAAGCCTTAAATAAAATCCTAATAATAAAACCAACAATCCAGAATATATATATATTAAAAATCCAAGAACTGTTTCATTTAAAGAATGAAAGAAAAACCATCTAACAGTCAGTCTAAAACACCGCCTTATCCTGGCCTGTTAATCTAGGTTAACTTGACCACGCTGGCCAAATAGCTACGATCAGGATAGAGAAACCCAATGCTCTTCAGAAGTTTGGGACTGCGTCTTCCATCTGCTCCAGCCAAAGTGGTCCATAATCAGGCACATGGGGAGTTGTTCTCCACAACATCTGGCGGGCATCATTCCCTTGCTTCCTGAGGGTCACAGGGAAGAGTTGGGGCCATGATAGCCAATGAAAAACACAGCCATGGAAAGGAATAGAAAGTTAGGGAGTCAGTTAAATCCATGATGATCTAGCCAGCCCCGGACCTGGAGGGCTCTGCTTGACCCAAAGGAGATGTTATGCCTACCATTGGCTGGACAACGCAAACCAGTTCTCCTCTCCCTGTCCTGCTCTGGGTTCAAATGTGTGTTTGCAACACCACTTTCCCCTTCACACTGTACTTCTCTGCTTTTCTTCCTGGTCTTCATAAAAGAGGTTTTATAGCCCTTCCTTCCGGACCTGACATACTGGTTGCCCAAGTCTCAAGGGAATGCCAACTCTTCATGACCCTTGCTTTTCCAGAAATGCAAGGAAATCATTGTCTCAGTCTGTGTTTTATTTCTAGTACATTTTTCAAGCTGTTTTTATGGATGTTTTTATATATTTCTTTGTAAACTGGCTGTAGATATTAAAAGAGGGTAAAGACATCACAGTTTTCCAAGTAAATCATTAAAATTCAGGTGCCCTGATTATCATGGGTGTTTTTAAGACCAGGGAGGTGTGCCATAGAAATACCACCATCTCAGGTTTTCCTTAACTCTGCCTTCCCACCTGGTTCGAGCATGTCAGCATGCTGGTCATCCTCTTGAACTGTGTCACCCTTGGGATGTTCCAGCCATGTCAGGATATCAGGTGCAAAACAGAAAGATGCGCAATCTTGGAGGTAAGAGAGACACCTCGCTTTGTTCATGTGGACGTGGACCTCAGCCTCTTGAAGCTTATGGGCTGGGCTTCAGCCAGCAATGCCAATGTCTCCTGAGTCTTGAGTAGTCTACAGGTAGGGTGGGCCCTGGAAAGGGCTCTTCACGGTTTGAAGACCCCGAGGGCAAAAGGGTGAGGATTAGGGCAGGTGGACAGCTCAAAGCACTGAGGTTCTAACTAGTAGGTCATGCCATGAAGGAGTTCTACCAACTCACCCAACAGATCCATATAAGAAAACCCCAGCCCACCTCTCCTGGCCAAAATGAACCTCTTACTAGTCTCCTTCGTTCAGCTTCCATTAGATGCTTTGGAGCTGTTTCTTAGGCCTTAGCTTGTCCATGGTTTTATAGATGGGATCGGATTTAGGCTGTTTAAGTAAGGAACTGGAGGAAAACAGTGGCATTATCATGAGCTTGGTTTAATGTTCAAGCCACAAGGCTTATGAGTTAAGTTTTGCAAAGAGGAGAGAGGACGGGACACCCTCCTGGAGGAACCTGATGATCCACCTTCCTTTTCCAACAGGAACTGCTGGAATACTTCCCCAAAACAAGGAAGTGAAGGCAACTAATTCTTGCAATGACATAAAGGAAGAGGTTCATTTTTTTTCTTGTCTTTTTTTCCTCCTCCCACCCCAAAACAAACTTTCTGGGGGAAAAAATGCCTCCTTCCAAATATCAGCTGCCAAAAAACCAATTTTGCTCAGTGTTGAGCAAAATACTCTTTCTCCCTCAAGGCTCCACCTCTCTGCCTCTACGCAAAAGCTCTTCTGTAGTGGTCTGGACAAGGCGAGCCTCCCGTGGAACTAATGATCGTCCTTCTCTCTGTGTGTGGCGTCCTTGTTTTAAATCCAGGCATTTGATCACTTCATCTTCGCCTTCTTTGCTGTGGAGATGGTTATCAAGATGACTGCCCTGGGGATCTTTGGGCACAAATGTTATCTAGGAGACACGTGGAATCGCCTCGACTTCTTCATTGTCGTAGCTGGGTCAGTAGACAAAACACGTCTTGGTCTGCTGAAGTTGCTAAAGGCCAAACTTTAATCGGCGTGGGCGGTGGGCAGGGGTGGGGGAATTGTTTAAGAGTCCAGCTTCCTTTTGCTGCTCCCAATTCTTTTGTTCTTTTTGCTGAAAGGGAGCATGAAAAAGGGCCAGATTTTTCAAAGCCTCATAAGCATCCCAGAAGTAGGAAAGGGCTACACCGCTGGTTTTGTAAAACAAGGTATTTCGGGTCGGGGGCCGGGGGGAGAAACAAGCTGGGAAAACATGCAGAGGGATGTTTTCCAACCACTTAATCAGACAGTGGCCATCAGAGATATCTGTATTTCCTTCTGTGCAATGAAGTAACGTGTTGCACCTCGGTTTCTGTTTTCCCTGCAGGGCATCCAAGTGTGGGTGTCTGTGCGCACACATGGGGAAGTGCCAGGCGGGTTGCGTATGCTGGGCTCTGGGTCATGTGACCAAGAGGAAGAGGATGGGGCCTAGAATGGAGCAGTCACCAATTTTCTGAGCTGCTTCCAACAGACCCTTCCCTTCGGATGCGATGCGAGATTTTTTCCTAGAATTTTCTTCTCCACAATCCCTGGTCAGATCCAGATCCGTTTTCAGACTCTGGCCCGATTCTCCCCCCATGCCAAATGTAGCCCCTTTGGTTCAGTTTCAGAGTTATCCTGCTCACGGCAGGCAGAATCCTTTACCCCCTTTCTTTGCAGCATCTCATTGGGTCGGAAAGAATCAAAGTGGGACTGTTCAACTCGGTCCTCCTCCCTGATCTTTCCACCCACTCCTATTCCAGATCCCTCTCTCAGCCAATGGCAGGCAAGATCCCATCCTATTTGCCCTGCCTTCTGTGACGTCACAGCACCTGCGTCACAGTTGCTGCCCTTGTTACAGATCTCCTTCATCAACAGCGTGCCTCTCCCGGGCTTGCTAGAGAGTGCTCCCAACACGCTAAAATAAATATGTCTCCTAGTGGCAA